TGTTCTTTGGTTGGTTGATTTGGGTTGGGTTTGATTTTTGAGACAGCATCTTGTTTTGTAGCCCAAGCTAGTTAAATAATAATAATAATAATAATAATAATAATAATAATAATAATAGGACTCACTCTGTCGCCAAGACTGACCTTGACCTCATGGCAATCCTCTGACCTTGGGCTCACAGCAATCCTCTGGCCTTTACATCCGTGTGCTAGGATGACAGGCCTGTGGGCCACATGCAGCTCCACTCTATAAATGTGGACAGTCCCAGAGCTAGCTTTGAGAACAGGCTCCAATATCCCTGAGTTGGAGCCTGACCACATGCTACACACACACACACACACACACACACACACACACACACACACACACAGAAGCCTTCGTGTTCTTCCTTCCCAGTCCATCTAGAGCTCAGACATCCCCATCCCTTCCTATCCATGGGATCTCCTTCCCGTAACCCATTTCCCACAATGCAACTGAAGGCTGGTTTTGCAATATGAACTGACCACATTGTGCCTCAGCCTAAAACTCCCCAAGGGCTCTTCAGAGGCTTGAATTCCAAGAGCGAGTCCCTGCCTTGCAGCAGCCCCCAGCACACTCTAGTCCCCTCTCGCAATGCCAAACAGCAGCCCCTTATCTTAGCCATCGACCTCTTCATCTAGTGCCTGCTTGTTCCCTAAGACAGGCTCGCTCACCCATGTGAAGGCGGTATCCCGTACTACTCTGTTCCCGCCCAACAAGCAACTGGCCGTTCAAGATGAATGAGTAAGTCAGTAAAGAACCAAATGAGTGGAAGGTGAGTGGATCCACATCTTAGGGGCTTCCCAGAAGCCACCCCTGCCCGCTGCCAGGAAGCCTGGTCCGGGTCCCAAACCTCTACTACTCCTGTTGTTGTTGTTGTGGTTGTGGTTGTTGTTGTTGTCATTATTGGCGATGAGACCCAGCACCTGGCACATGCTGGAGAAGTGCTCTATCACTGACCTATAACCCAGCCCTCTAAAAAAGTGAAAATTTTGAGATAGGGTATTCCTAAGTCATTCAAGCTAGCCCTGAGCTTACTCTGTGACCCAAGCAGACCTTGAACTTACAATCCTCCTGCCTCAGCCTTCTCAGTAGTTTAATTGTAGACCTGTACCACCAGGTGCATTGAATGCCATGCTCAGCCAGACCCTTCAGTCTCTCTTATCCCAGACCTTGATGGAAATCTAACCACAGATGACATATGAAGGCTGTGTATGTGAAAGCAGTCAGTCACAAAAGGCCAAGACAGGGTTTCTCTGTGTGTAGCTCTGGCTGTCCTGGAACTTGCTCTGTAGACCAGGCTGGTCTTGAACTCAGATCTGGTTATCTCTGTCTCCTGAGTACTGGGATTAAAGGCATGGGCCACTACCACCCAGCTATATATAATTCCATTTCTAAAGTGCCTGGAACAGGCAACTCTGAAGACAGGAAAATTGGTGCCACCCTGGGCTGGGAGGGATCAAGGACACAAGTAATATCTAACACACACACAGGGTTTTTTTTGAAGACAAGGAAAGTATTCTAAAATCAGCTGGGGTTAAGATATAACTTGTTGAGTGCACTGAAAACCATGGAATGACCATTCAGCCATAAAGAGGATGGGTCCTGTCATTTGCAACAGCTTGGGTGGAACCACAAGCCAGGCACAGGAACTTCTCTTGCTCCTGCTCAGTCTAACAGTTGATCTAAAACTAGGTATGGAGGCTCCTGTCTAAGAATCTCAGCACTAGGGAGGCTGAGGCAGGAGGATATCCACACCCTCAAGACCTAAGCCACAGGGTCTCAAGACAAACAGGGGCAGGGGTGTGTGCATATAACCCCAACTAGGGCAACCATGATGGTGTGTGTGTGTGTGTGTGTGTGTGTGTGTGTGTGTGTGTGTGTGTGTGTGTGCTGGGAATTGAACACAGGCCTTGGGCAAATTAAGCAAGTGCTTGCCCCGTGAGCTACATCTCCAGCCATCTGCTTGGAGTACAGCAAGTTGCCCAGGCTGGCTGCAAGTCCCAGGGATCTGCCTATTTCCACTTCCCCAGCACCGGGATTACAGATGTGTAATGCCCAGCTTTTTTATGTGAATTGTGGGTTTGAACTCAGGCCCTCATCTTGCAAGGGAAGCACTTACGAATTGAGCTTTCTCCCCAGCCCAATGCACTATCCATTTTTTGTTTGTTCAGTTGTTTTTTTGTTTTTTGTTTTTTTCAAGACAGGGTTTCTCGGTATAGCTCTGGCTGGTCTGGAACTCGCTCTGTAGACTGGGCTGGCCTCAAACTCAAAGATCTGCCTGCCTTTGCCTTCAGAGTGCTGGGATTAAAGGTGTGCACCGCCACCATCCAGTTTATACGTTTTTAAAACTATAAGAAAGTGTTCTGAAAGTTTCTACAATGAGGAAATGATGAGGAGATATCAATGTTTAACCTAATTTGAATATGACACCGTGTATACTATATTGAAACAGTACATGGCATTCCGTTGTCATATGTAATCTTTATGTGTTGTTTTGCTTTATTTTGTTTGTTTGATGAGATGGAGTTTCACTATGTAATTCTGGCTGTGCTAGAACTCACCGTGTAGACAAGGCTGGCCTTGAACTCACAGAGACTCTCCTGCCTCTGCTTTCCTGAGTGCTGGGTTTAGAAGTGTGCACCACCACACCTGGCTAGTTTTTTTTTTATATATATATATATATATTTTTAGCTGGGAGGCAGAGGCAGGCATATCTCTGAGTTCAAGGCCAACCTGGTCCATCCAGCAAGTTCTGGTCTATCCAGGGCTACATATGAGATAGAGGAGGGGGCAAGGAGCGGGAACCCATTAAGCCATGCACTTTAGGTGGGTGAGTTATATATGAATTACACTAATACAGCGTTACATTATGAATTACATTAATAAATCACTACATTAATAAAGCTATTTTTAAACCCCGTTAGAAAATGAAGGGTGCAGTGGCCCGCTCTGTCAACTTAGCATTTGGGAGGCTGAAGGAGGAGAATTGATGTGAGTTTGAGGCCAGCCTGGGCTATATTGCAAGACCATGATTCAAAACTCTGAAAAATAAATAAATAAGGCCCACAGTGACTTCTCATCCCCCAGAAGGGAGACTCCCTACAACACTTAGTCCCTGTGACCACAGAACACACTTATGTTGGGCTGGGCTCTGTTCTTAAGCACTTTGTGGGGATTCATCTCAGCCTCTCTCAGCCCTTTAATGCAGGCATTATGCTTCTGCCCACTTTGCAGATGGGTAAACTGATGGCAGGTTGAGTACCTTGCCCAAGATGACTTAATTCCCTTGTGTTTGTGTCTGGCCTGGGCACTTCTTGCAGTACGTCCTAAGGACCTGTTTAGAAGCTTCTCTGCCTGGAGAGCAGCCCCAGGGACTCTGTCCCAGGGTCTGGTTTAGAGTTATATCCCTTCCTCCTAGCCCATCAGAGCCGACTCAAATATAGAAAAAGAAAGAAGTGACAGAGATGGGTCCGGTGGTCTCATGGTCTTCAACCCAGCTTCTTTAGGGAGAGGACAACACATCCTGCCCCCAATTCCCAGAAGATAATTCTAGAACCTGTTTTCTCCTGAGCCCTTGTGTGGTTTCCCTTCCTGGGATCTTTCTCTGTAACCAAGAAGTTGGCTCTGCCCAGAGCCATTGGCTACAGCCTGGAGCCTGGCGTGGTCCCCAAGTGCAGCAGGCAGCCCGGGAAGTTTAGATGGGCCCTGCCCAGGACCCTGCCTCACCCTGTCACCTGAATTAAAGCCTCTATACCTGAGATGCTGCCACTGTCCCTGTGGCCTGTCAGGTGGCTCTGGATCATATGGGAACCTAAGGGAGTGGACAGAGACGTCTGAAGAAGTACGGAAGGAGTGACCACAGTTCCCAGGGGCTTGACAATCAATGACTCAGCTGTACTGTCACTCCAAAGGAGATGGTGTCACCCACCCAGCTCTCTGGCTCTAATTGGCCTGTTTTCTCCCTCATTCCAAAAGTCTCTGTACTTTCTAGCCCTGTCTGTCAGCACACATTCTCTGTGAGATCTTCTGGAAGTAGCCACCCTACCCAGTGACTTCGCTTGAGGACAACCCAAGACAGAATTCAGAGTCCTGCAGAAGCCAAGACTAGCTCACATGCCCCTCCTTGGCAAGGCTGGCCATGCATGCCCTCTGACTTATGCCCAGACCTCTAGCAAAAGCCAGCTGGGCCGGGTGGTAGTGGCGCACACCTTTAATCCCAGCACTTGTGAGGCAGAAGCAGGCGGATTTCCGTGAGTTCAAGGTCAGCCTGGTCTACAGAGCAAGTTCCTGGACAGGCTCCAAAGCTACATAGAGAAACCTTGTCTTGAAAAAACAAAACAAAACAAAACAAAACAAAACAAAACAGCCATCTGGTGGAATCTGGAAAATCAGGAGACTCAGAGCCTTGAGATCTCCATTGTGCCCCAACCCCCAGCAGCCTGACAACTCCCTCCCTCCTCATGGGCCCCAGGGGAAGTCAGGCCCCAGGATCCCAGTGCAGCAAGGCCACTGTGGCTCTTGGAAACAGGCAGCTGGTACAATGCCCTGGTGGCCCAAGAGGCTTGCCTCTCCTTGGGGCATTCAGACCCCTTAGCCCTCTTCTGGCTACACTCTCTGTTGATACAGAACTCCACTCAGACAGCCCCCCTACACCTCAAAAAAAAAGCAATCAAGAGCCCCCGGCCCACCCCAGTTGGCTGTCACTCTCTCCTGCAGAATTTCACTCCAGATGTACCCCTGAATGCTTCTGCCAGAAGGGTCAGGAAGAACTTTACCAGGGATACCCGGGGGCAGACGTGAAGAAAGAAGATACAGAACGGAGCCTTTGGGCCCTCTAGAAGGGAAGTCAGGAGATAAGAAAATGTTTCTCACAAGGCTCCACCACCCCACCGTCCTCTGCACTTCAGTCCCTTCCCAGAGGACATGCCTGCCATCCTGGGGCGCCCAAATCCATTCCCCGCACAAAGCACGGGACTTACCATGATAGAAAAGATGAGGGGGATGAGGTTGAGGGGCCAGACGGGGCAGAAGCAGGAGGCGATGGCAAGGATCAGGTAATCTTTGGGAGCTTCTTGGTCCTGGGCATAGGAGGTGGTGACAACAGAGGACGCTCTCCGAGAGCTGGCCCGGGAAGGGGAGCCAGGGAGGGAGGGCTGGCGGTGCACCTCGGAGATGACCTTGAAGGGCAGGCTGTGGCCATTCTGCTCCAGGTCCAGAGCCCCCGACAGAGACTTGGACAGACCCAGAGCTTTGTCATCCTTGTTTTCCACTTTGGTGAGAAGCTTCTCCATCTCGGGCAGCTCCAGGGGTGAGATGGAGCCTGGGTCTTGAAACTGAGGCTGCCCTGGGTTGGCCATGTTGGCGTGGGCCTTGGGTTTCTTCGGGTCCAGGTAGGCACACTGTGCTCCGGAGGGTCCTCAGCACACCATTCCCCAGCTCAGATTTCAAATCCCCGGGACAAGGGTGGATGTGTTTTTGCAGGGGCCTGGGGGCCAGCTGGGTGCTGGAAGACTCAGAAGAGCTTCTCAAGGCTAGCAGAGTTCACAGCTGGAGGCTGCTGCTGCTGCTGCTGCAGTTGTTACTGCTGCTGCTGCTGCTGCTGCTGCTGCTGCGAGAAGCTGGAGGCTTCAGCTCCGTTCAAGTTTGAGGCCAACTTTGCTGGAGCTGCCGTCTGCACAGATGGGCGGGGAAGCGAGAGAAAGTGGCGTGGCGAGAGCAGAGAGAGGAAGAAGGCTCTTCTCCTCGCCTCTCTAGTGAGTGAGGCTGAGGCTGAGGCAGGGAAGCTGTGTGTGTGTGTGTGTGTGTGTGTGTGTGTGTGTGTGTGTGTGTGTGTGTGTGTGTGTGTGACACAGCCTCCCTCGCTCTCCACCCTCCTTGGAGATATCTCTCTTTTTCAATTCCCTTCTCCCCAGAGAATCACCCCAGCAGCATCTTGCCCCTGGCCCGGCCCAGCCCAGCAGAGTCCACAGGGACTTGGGCCAGCCCCTGGTTTCCTCTGCAGTCCCAGACCTGCTCCTCTGGGCCATGGCTTAGATAGGGGAAAAGACAGTGATCACCAAAGCAAGTGCCTCCTGCTCCTCTAAGCAGCCCTGTGCTTCCTGTTGTCTTTTGGCAAGTGCTGGGCTCTGGGCCCATCGTCTCCCACCTAGACCTTCACCCTCAACACTTATCTGGGGAAAGAGATGTGAGGGCCCTGTGGTCCCTGAAGGACCCAGTGGGGCCCTAAGACTAAGTTTCTAAACAGCTCACCAAGGGCCAACGAAGGGGCCTGTGGGGTAAATGCCTCTCCGTCTCATGCCTTCCATGGCTTATGGTGCCGAGCGGTAGGCAGAGAGCCTCTTGGGATTTCTCTGACAGATGCCAGCTCTGAAAGGGCCAGAGGCTCCGCATGTCTCTCCTCAGACTCTCTTTCCTCCTCTGTTTCTGCCTCCTCCACTCTCTTCATCTCATTCTCCTTCCCTTCCCTGTCTCTGCCCTTGGCTTCAGCAGAGCGACCCAAAGCCACCAAGGTATATAGAGGAGCATAGCTTGGATGGGACATATGAAATCATTTAAAGTTCCAGAATCATGTCTGATGTGCGAAAGCAGAGCTGGGAGAGACCATGGAGTTCAAATCTATTGCTTTTATCATTTAGAAATAGAGGCCCAGATGGGAAGGAACAGGCATCTCAGTCAGCTAGCAATCCCTGGCCTATGTCCTGGGGCTGGCATGGAGCAAAACCAGCCATGTTAGTGGGGGGGGGGGCAGGGGGGGAGATGGCTTTGGTTGGTTTCAAGTTTATTTCAGAAATACAGCTTCTAGCAGAGGTAGAAGGGGAGCCACAGAGAGCTGGCTGGAGGGAAGAGAGGAAGGGATGCCATTCCTGAGGAGGAGCCACATGTGGGACCTGCCCGAAGTGGGACCTGGGTGCTGAAGACACACCCGGGAACCAGTAAGCTTAGAAAATGGTTGAGAATTTAAGGTGATGCCGGGCAGTGGTGGCGGCGGCGGCGGCGGCGGCGGCGGCGGCGGCGGCGGAGGCAGCAGTGGCGCACACCTTTAATCCCAGCACTAGGGAGGCAGAGCCAGGCA